AAATTGGAACCCAATTAATGTAAATTGAAAAGTTCAAAAAATCTTGTGTATTTTTTTACCAACTCGAGCTTATTCATATTCTAATGTCTTTATTAAAAATACATTACCTTATAGTTTGGTCTACTGGGTGTCCGTAATGAACGTTTTTCTCTCTCTTATTGTGGATTCATTCTTATATAGTCGTTCACTTCCGTTTTATCAAAATTAAAATTTGCTTGTTTTGGTCTGTGCTTGATATACTAAATTTTTCGACATTAGCTATATTGAATCATCTATCAAATATAATATATTTTTTGAATGTAAACTGTTTGTGGTGTTATATAGTATATAAGTAGTTTTGAACCTTCATTCCCAATAAATTATGTTTTTCTAGAGTGACATTTTTATTACACATTCCTGATTCACAAGACATTTTGCTGGTTAGTGATCTCAAAGATTTATTGACGATCAAAAGTATTTTTTGCCGACATCTTTTGGCTAAGCTTGTGAAACGTTCTTCCACACTTGTTGTATATATAGGGGTTCTTACCCTATGAAGACGTGGAAGACCCACACAACTTTATGATGAAATTAACAAAACTTTTGATATTACTGATAGCAAAGCGACTGGTCTATAGTCATTTGGAAAAATTTTCTTGCTCTTTTTGAGAATGGACTGAACGCCAGCAATCTTCCAACACCAACAATGGTAGATTTTGTTAAGTTTTGATTAGCAGCTTTTGCTACCAACCAGAAGCATCTAGACCCGTTGGGATTGGCAAGCAGTTTATACCTAATTCTCCGAATGTGAAGTTCTTTTCTTTCCCTTAATCTAAGTTTGCAGCTGTTGGGAGTATTAACAAACCTAGTTCGGTCTTTGACACTGGGATTTTCGCGCCACTGCCGGTAGGTAAGATTTTTGGAGGCGTCAGCTTGCTCGCAATTTTTGTTGAACCAAGATTTGCCGTTAGAGGTTCGTTTTATTGAAAAAGGAATATATGCATCCATGGATGATAGAATAACTTCCGTGATTTTAGAAGTTGATGGATCATTAGAGCTGAAACAAACAGGGGAAATTTCGGAAATGGTCTTGAAGATCCTCCCAATCAGCAGATCTGTAATGCCAAACTTTGCGCGGCTAAGATTGTTCCCCAACATTCATCGATAATTCATTCAACACTAAAATGAGTTTGTGGTCAAAAGATCCCAATGGCGACCCAACGTTGACTGTAAATTTGTGGATTGCTTGTTAGGTTTAGATCCGGATGACTAGCATATTCTCCATCACGTTCAGGAATCGTGGTTGGATCATTCATAATCTGAGTACGCTGCTTATTGCAAAGGGAGTGATTGTGGACATAGATCTTCTTACTGTCGCGAGGTTCGGCGGAACATTTTGAAAATATACCGAACTATATAAAATAAATAATAACGAAATTAAAATAAAATGCTATTGTATTGTACCCTTGGAAATAGCACATCTATTTCAATAAATCTTTGTAAAGAACACAAAATAATTCCTTTCTACAATAATTATGTTCGATTCCGGATTTCGCCCTGTTCGAGAATTGAGAGCGGGACTATTTACGTTCCCACAGTATATCATATTGATGGTATTATGTTTGAAAATTTACCACTGACTAATAAGAAACCTACTACCAGTACTAGAAAGATTGCTTTCCAGCTAAATGTTGATCATATGACGGTATTTCGAATTTTAAAAGAACAACTCTTATACCTTTACCATCTGCAACGAGTACAGGCATTGTTACCGCGAGACTTTCCGAACCGTCTTGAATTTTGCAAATAGGATGCTGGAAATGATTAGAAGAAATTGTGACTTTCTGAAGAAGATAGAATTCACAGACGGGTGTAATTTTTCTCGGGACAAGATTATTGATTTTCATAATTACCACATAAGGGCTGATGAAAACCCTCACGTTATTGTCGAAACTAACCATCAAGAACAGTTTTCTCTTAACGTGTGGCTCGGAGTTATTGGGGATGATTTAATTGGACCTCATTTTCTACCTCCTCTATTAAATGGTGAGGCATACGTTCAATTTTTGAGAGAAGTGCATTCAGTACTGCTGGAGGAAGTTCTTTTGGGCGTCGGAAAGGATATCTTTTTTATGCATGATGGGGCTCCCGCCCATTTTAGTCAAGTAGCACGTCAGCATTTAACTGAAACATATGCAAATCAGTGGATAGGTCGAGGAGGACCACAGAACTGGCCCGCTCGATCCCCAGATCTCAATCCTCTTGATTTCTCTATTTGGGACCATTTACAGCATTTGGTTTATCGCACTCCTGTTCGCGATGTAGAGGACTTAAGAAACCGCATCATCGATGCGTGCAGGGTAGTCAGAGAGACTCCAGGAATATTTGACCGAATACGTGGCTTAATGCGCCGTCGTATAGACGCATGCGTAATGTCTGAAGATAGACATATTGAACATTTACTATGATTTCTACATGTTGTGTGTTTTGTTATTAATAAATTAGTACTGTTTATTACCCTTTAATCGTATAATGCAGGTACTAACTACAAAATAACAATAAATCCAGTTCGCATTTATGACGATGTATCTCTGTAGTTGTTCGTAAAATAATTTTTGCTACGAACTGGTTTATTTTGGGCAACAAACCCAAGAGACATTTATTGCTTAGAATGAAACAGGCTATAGAAAATAAATGTTTACATGGTAAATAAATAATAAGACAAAAAGTTACATTGGAAATAAATTTTAGGGGTTGCGTTTTCCACCCCTTACAACCATGGAGTAAACCAAATAAATTACTGGCTAAGTGTCTTTTTGGTAGTACAAAACGTCAGGTTAATTTCAATATTGTAACTTTTTCAGTGCTTGTGAAAAAAATTGTTATACAAATTTCATGTACCCCCTTTGAGGGACTGTATCTTAACAAGGGATGCTCCAATGAAATTTCTTTATATGAAAGATCCTATCTTTTTTTCGATGAGGAATCGCCTCCTTAAATGTTTTACACTTATTCAGTTACACCCTGTATATTGAAATTGCTGAATTCCTACTAGATTTGTTAGAACCTCGAGTCATTTCTACAATCTATCTCGGGACTTTAAAGTTGAATTTTCAAAGGTTTACCTACTTGAGCTGTCTTTCTGGCACAGATCCACTCAAATGATTTCAAGATTAAATTTTTCTGATTATCTTCACACGCCGATGCGCTAATCTATTGAAGCAATTTTATGATAAGCAAACAATGTTTAACAAATAAATGTTAATGGATGATGAAATTATTGTTATTAGTATCAATAAATTATTCACAGTTATGAAACTGTGAGAAATGAAATCACTGGCAGTGAGGCTGTATCCAATATTAGAGTGAAAAATATGAAAATAATTCGGACACCAAGTTGTACTTATTGTATAGTTGGCTTAGAATGGATTATTGCGTTCTGAAGAGACCATGCCCTGTACTGATGATGGGGCAATCACCCCGAAACCGGTCTATCGGTTGGTTGGACCGATCAAACGAAATTAATTTCTTCTTTTCATAGTGGGAACTAATTTGCGACGAATCTTCCAAGTCGAAGACGTTGCACAGGTGCTTGATGGTTTTACTTCAACTCTCTGCGCGGCATTAGCTGGGTGGGTTGTTTGTTTTTCCGTTGGGTATCTGCCACACGTACCTACAAAGTCGTAGGTCTGCATGACAGGAACGGGGCAACCTTCAGCATGTCATAATGCACCTCTCCGGAATATTAAACATTATTCCGACTTCCACCCCGGAGTATGCTTGAGGAGTTGTTTCCTGGCTCTGTCTGCAGATGGCGCAGTGGACATCCCACTGAATCAACTGCAGAGAGATTCAATGACTAGCGGCGGCGGCTCGTCAGAGGAGGCAAGGCATAAAATTTGAGGATATTCATCGCAATAACCTAAAAATATTGACAAATATTTATGATTATTTTTTTCTAAAAATGCTTGGGTATCATTACTTTACCATTAATTTTTAATATAAATACATAATATGCCCGAAAAAATACTATCACTCACTACGTAGTACGTACCACACTGTATCCTGCATCAACAAACCTCAAACGCACCGCCCACCCACGAACGAATAATGAAGAAACCATCCACGCGAAATAATAAATGCCATACGTTGATACGTTGCAAGGGAGCCTAGCCTCCGACCGCTTTAAAAAAAGCAAGCTTCGCGAGACCGATCCAGCCAGCGACATACGTCCCGAATTGTAATTTCAGTTGCAGAAAATATAGCGTTAGAGGAGGCTAGCCTCCAGTTGGTCTCCGTTAGTGCACGACTGCATTTGTTTTTTATTTAATTATTCGTGACGGACCGGGACTGAAAAATATTTCGGTAAATCGTGTTAGTGTTTCTTTATAATATTTGTTATTTGTGTATAAAACAGGCAGTATTGTATTATAGCAGTGCTTTTTGGTAGTATTTTTAATGTGTTTTTAAAGTGTTTCCTTTCAATTTCAAGGTGTTTTCAGGTTTTCACTTTTCAGTAAGTTCTTTTTTCCATTTATTATGGATAAGTTGGACGAAATACAAAAATTTGACAAAATTTGACAATATAGTCGATTGGTTGCTGACAAATAATTTCAAGTCTTTATCTTATGATAATAAATTTTACATTATTAAAACTCTGGGAAAGCCTCAACCAAATTTGATTTCAATTAAATCGTCAGATAATCGACAAAATCGAAGATTTAATATTAATTGGTACAATAAATGCGATTGGTTAACCGGCTCCATTAAACGAGAAAAACTTTTTTTTTGGCCCTGTGTTTTATTTTCCGTACAAACCGAATACCAAACATGGTGTAAAATAGGAAACTCTGATTTAAAAAATTCACCTCGTTCTACAGACAGACATTTTAAATCTTGGTTCTTGCTGAAAAATAAAATTTACTTTTAGACCTGTTTTACTCCACTTCTGCTTCGCGGTTTTCGTTTATGGAAAAGGTAATTTTTTCATCGGATGAAATTTGTTTTCTCCCGATATCCCGTAATCTAAAACACCGGCTTATAACTAAGGATTACGTAGTCAATTGTTTCAAATACTGAATGACGATAAGACAATTTTTATCTGTAATCAATAAATAATATAAGAAGTTCATTAGAAGTAGAAATTACTGATAAAGTGACAATTGATCATCTATAAATTCACTCAAGATATCTGATCGACCAGTCTTCCTACGAAACTCGTTTTCCAGAATTGCAATAAAATGAAAAAAATCTTGTTGATCTTCGCTGTTTTTTCTGTATCACAAGCTGTTCCGAAAGTAAGTTATTTATTGAATAAGATAATTTTTGTGTTGCCTTCAAACTTTTGATAAAATCATGACATGCCCCTTCTCTTAATTAAATATGAATTTTTTTTAGACATGTATATATGAGTGGTCTATCAGTAGCCAGGCGGTTCGACGTGGGTGCTTTGTTCACTCAGTCAATCGGCCGATGGGTGAGTCGATGGTTCAAGCCCAAGGCTGAACGATCAATTTTCACTTGCTATCGTCCAACCCGTGTTAGAAATCACACGTTAGAAGGTGAGACCTCGTTAGTCCTTAGCTCGAACAAGTTTCGACTTCCGAGGTTTGTCGTTCGTAGGGGTGCGATAGCTGGTTAATGGAAAAACATATAAATTGATGGATGTAGCCGTTACTACGTGGTAGGAAATCATATTGAAGAAAAGAGAAATGAAACTTTCTATGTTTTTTACCACTTTTATTTGTAACTAACGTTTCTGATACGGACATTTTCAAACTTCAAGCATAACTGTTATGTTTGAAGAAGCTATTGTATAGCGAAACACGTGTTGCGGTTTTTGTAAAACCCTTATAGTGAAAATCATAGAATAAACTCTATTTATCAATTGTTTATATGTTTATCAAATCGGAGTTCCGAGTAAAGACATTGGCCCAGATTCGTAGTTTCTGAAACAACAGATGATTTATTTTCTGCTAATTTTATATTTATCGACTCTGCAATTTCAAGTCGTTTTATTCGAGGACCAAAAAGAATTAATTGAGACTTATTTGCGTTTAAATTGAGATTGTGTGCAGCAAATATATCTAATAAGTTCTGAAGGTCCACATTAACTTTTTCTATTGAAGTTTGCTAGCTATCATGAGGAAAAGAAGAATACAACTGGATATCATCAGCATTTTGGTGTATAGAACAATTGTTTATTACTTTAATAAAAGTCTGAAATGTAGAGCGAAAATAATAGAGGTCCAAGAATCGAGCCTTGAGGAACTCCATGAGTTACAGGCAAGGTATCTGAGTATTGACCATCTAACATATGGTTTGTTTCTATTTGAATAAACTTTCTGTGTATAATCTGTACATTTTCGTAAATAGTTTTTATTGATGTTCAAATTACTTTCTTCTGGTGTTTTTTTCTTTCCGTATGATTCAAAGAGATCATAAAAACAATCAACCCCAATAACAGTTAAAATATGATTGTAACAACTTCCTTCATTTTCAGCTTAGCGATTACTTTGTCCATCCTTATCAAAGACAACATCAACCACGCCGCTTACCCATTGGCCTCCGTATAATCGGAGGGAACGATGCTTCACCCCATGCCTACCCTTACCAGGTTGGAATGTATGTTTATTCAACTCAAGTAGACTTCTGCGGGGGTTCCCTTATTTCTCCTAATTACGTCTTGACAGCAGCACATTGTGTAGACAAGTAAGTATAATCGGCGTAAGTACTACCGCGGTGGTAGTGCGCCCGACTCACGATCGGAAGGCCGTGGGTTCGATTCCCGCCTTGACCAGATATTTATCTCAAGAGAATGTATCTGGTTGAAGCTGGGATGATTCTGCAACCGTGTTTTTTTTGGTACCTTGGGAGCTGTCTGACTTGTCCATTTAGTCCATGTCTCCAGAAAACACTGCAGCCTCTTGGGCTCATTGCGTTTATTCTGCCATCTTCTCATGACACCCATCGCGTATAGCCAATATACCATGTCTGGTTTTAGCCCCCATGTTTTTCCATAGGTGCGTTTGGCGAGCATCAGTGCTACCTCTGCTTTCCTCTTTATCCTGTCCAAGTGTTGGTTCCAGGTCAGTTTGGAATCTAGAATTACTGCCAGATATTCAACCTCCCCCGACACTTGTATTTCTTCACCTCGAAGTTTTAGAGGTCCGAGACCCTCCGTTTTAGTCCTCTTGGTGAATGCTACTATGGTCGATTTGGAAGGGCTTATGTTAAGCCCTTCTTTTTCGGTCCATCTTGTTATAATATTCAGGGCCTGCTGTATGCATCCCTTCACTACATTATTGTATATACCCTGGACTAAGATGACTGAGTCGTCTGCATAGCCCAGTGCTTTGTATCCATTGTGGTCCAAGAGACATACTAGCATCCATAACAGAGGGGATAGAACCCCACCTGAGGACAATCCCTTGCTACCTGTGCCACGACTGTTTCCCCCATAATATACCTACCAATCTTCCCCTAAGCATGCAGTCTATCCACCTACAGCTTGTCTTGTCGATCCCTCTTCTCCTCGACGCCTGGATGATTGATTCTAACGACGCGCGACGTATTATCAAATGCGCCCTCAATGTCCAAGAAAGCAGCTAAAAGTATTCCTTGTTTTTTGTAAGTATATTCTACTTTTTCTGTTATCCTACATAAAGCTGTTTCTGTTGACATACCTGACCTGTATGCATATTGGTCTCGATGTAATGGTCTGATAGCCAGTGATACGTCCCTGATATGCCTGTCAAGTAGTTTTTCTAGCGTTTTCAACGCAACCGTTTTGATTCCATCCCATCTCTTTTATCCTGACATTTAAATGATTCATCCAATTACTTTTTACAGAGCCTACAAGGTAGAAGTGATACTAGGTGCCCACAACGTAACTGCCGAGGAGGACTCACAAGTACGTTTAGTTTCAGTTGACATTGTAGTCCATGAAGAGTGGGATAGAGACACTCTTACCAACGACATAGCACTGATAAAACTCCCTAGTCCCGTAAAAGAAACGGATGCCATAAAAATCATCGATATTGCCGCTGGTAGAGATAGTTTCGTAGGAGACAAAGGTAGGCTATGAGTGCGACACTCTATTTCCACAACAGGTTTTGATGAAGCAGATACCCAAAATCAATGGAATAGTTGAACTGTAGAGATCTGTAGAAAAAACTTCAGTGACTGAACATTTGACTAAAATGAGAAAAAAGGAACTATGATTTTGATATTAAAAAAAAAATAATAAGAACGTTAATTTGCAAAGAGAACACATTGTTGTGACCTGAAATTTTGAAGGTTGAAATTTTTACAGTGACGTAAAAAACAAGCGTCCATCAACTTCAATATTCGAATATTCTCGTTATTCTGTTACTGCGTCGTATTAAATTTCAACATTAATAACTCATTTTAAATATTGACTGAAAGTTTCAAAAGTGTTTTATGGTACAAAACTTGAACAAAACTTGGAAAATATCTTTGGGGGATCAGCAGAACGGAAGTGTATTCTTATAACACAAGTTATTCCAATATTTNGTTGTAATCGGGTGATCACTGATTGTTTTTTGTCTGTGACATTTTCCAGGTACAGGCCCAGTAGGAACATGCCAGGGTGACTCGGGAGGACCTTTGGTGGTCAATGGAGTGCAAGTTGGATTGGTATCGTTCGGCTATAAAAATTGCAGCGCTGGTTTGCCGTCGGTGTTTACGAGAGTGTCTGAATACGTAGACTGGATTGCCAAAAATTCCGATGTGACTTACAGATAATTTCAATAAATTTTTTCCTCGTTATATTTTTTTTTGGTTTCACAAAGAAAAATTTTCGATTTATAAGTAACTTGACTTTACTCGGTGGATTAGATAGATAATTAGGTTCGGTCCAAAGTGAGTGGGTCTATTCGACCATTCACCGCAACCCGCACGGGTTTATTGTGGCTCATACCTATTCACACTCGACCTAATAAACCCAGATTCTTAACGAAGCAGATTAGTTTGTATGGTGAGTGGTCTTTCAGGTCAGATGGTACGAGTACGGTTCTGCCGAACTCTAGAAAACTGATTCGGTCCCCAGCGGGGCAGGCACAAAGTATATGCTCTGCTGTGTCATCGTTAACGAGGTAGTCGGATAGTCAAAAAACAATACATTTTTCAGAAGGAAATTATAGAACCTTTTTGAAGGGCTCAAAAAAACTTTATTTCAGCTTTTTCAAGTCTCCAGCATTGAAACTATGCGAGTTATTACAAAAATGTTGGTCTCTATGTTTTTCGGCGATGAAAATCTTATTCTAGAAGTTTGACCGGTTTAAAGTGCTTAGTTTTGAAAACATTTGAGCCCAAAAGTGAAACATTATACAATATCGCCATATTCAAGCAACTGTAACGCAGTAACAAAAGTTACTGCGTTACAAATGAGTTGTAATGATGATCATAAGGATGAATAATGATGATTTTAATAAATTGATGGATCTAGCCGTTACTACGTGGTAGAAAATCATAATGAAGAAAAGAGAAATGAAACTTTCTATGTTTTTTATCACTTTAATTTGTAACTAACGTTTTACTGCAGTTTCGTTCTATAAGGACCTTTTCAAAGTTATACAACTATTGTTAGCTTATGATGACACACCAATTGCTGAAAGATCACCTATAGGACTGTCACTTACGGTGTTCCTCAGGGATCGGTGCTTGGACCCTTATTATTCACTATAGGTATATATAAATAGTTTGATGGCATTACCATCTGATGGTAAACTCATCAGTTTTGCAGATGATATGGCAATAATCTACAACGGAAAACATGGACAGATTTAAAAACAACAACAGAATAAGACCTGAGGAGTATACGTGACTGGTTCAAATACAACAAACTAACAGTCAATACTCAAAAAACATATTATTTGCCTTTCACATCTTACCCTAATCACCTTCCAAACTTGGGAACCCTGGACATTGGAGGCAACTCTCGTATAGAAGAAAAAAAGCACTTGAAATATTTAGGAATAATAATTGATAGACACTTGAGAGGGGATTTACATATCGAGCAGGTGAAAAATAAATTAAGAGGTCTACTCACAAAATTCAAGTACTTAGTGGAATTCTTGGATATGAAAAACTTTAAAAAACTGTACTATGCACTTGTGCAATCTCAGGTTTCTTACCGAAACTTAGGTTGGGGAGGTGTAACAGAAAATATTATACATAATTTGAGTATCATACAAAAATGGATTCTGAGAATGAAGAAGAACATAAGATATCCCAGTGACAAGCTATTTTCAGAGACCAATGTTCTTGATATAAGACAAATATTTTGTCAACGAATTCTAATCTATATCCGTAAAAATAAAAATCAAGTTAACACCCATCGACCACCGTCATGAAACTCGAATAAAAAATAAAAACATGAAAGTTCCAACCTGCGAAAAAACAGCCGGTCAACGCTCAGCAGAATATCTTGTACGAATAATATACAATTTACTGCCACAAAACCTCAAATCTATCAAATATTATATTGTATAAATTTGAAAATGTCCGTATTGGACGAAACTGCAGTAACGTTAGTTACAAATAGAAGTGGTAAAAAACATAGAAAGTTTCATTTCTCTTTTCTTCATAATGATGATTTTAATAATCTGTGAATTTTACATCTGTACTTTGTGTTTCTAATGAGGATGTAGGTCGGTAGCCGGTCGGTTCAACGTGGGTGCTTTGTTCACTCATTCAATCGACCGCCGTGTGAGTCGGTGTTTCAAGTCGCAGGCTACACGATTGATTTTCACTTGCTGTCGTCCAACTTGTATTAGGAATCACACGCTAAAAGGTAAGACCTCGTTAGTCCTTAGCTCGCACAAGTTTCGACTTCTGAGTGTTGTCGTTCGTAGGGGTGCGATAACTGGTTAACTGAAAATACTTTTTTTGTACATATAACAAACATATTTCAACATATTTTGAGTATGCTATGTCTATCTATTCCTATATAATCAGAGAGTATCCAATATTATTACTACCTTCTATTGGGTCATGTTGACACTCTTTGTTTTCTGTTCACGTTTAAGTATGCACTTAGTCATGAAAAGAAATTTTCACTAAATCATCAGTGTTGCTAGTGAATGATATCTAATAATAAAGATAATTGCTAACTCCCCAGATTGAGATATGTAACCTAAAAGATTAATGTTATTATCAATTAGTAGTTGAAAGTATTGAAAACATGAAAGTCATACTCATTTTCTTTTTAACAAGTATTTGTGCTCTGAAGCAAACACGGGTAAATATTGATCCTTTATTTTTATTGCCATTATTTTTTTGAAGATAACGTTGATAACAATACTATCATTTCTATTTACATTCTAATTCATTCTGAGATATGTAATGTGGAAAACCAGTGAAAACAGCACTGTTTCTTATTATAACGTTGAGAAAAATAAGTAGGTATCACATCCCAAACTACCTAATTGCTAATTACGATAAATGCATTGAACAAAATATGCGGTAGACAGCAATCCATAAATTTGATTATCTAATGATATACAAGGGGTTGTAAATAAAACATGCTTATCGGAAATAAGACCCATAAAATTGTCTATTCTAAAGCTTTGGTTGACAAATGGGGAATGGAAAAAATAATTAGCGACGCCCACAGAAATTTCAGTACAGGATGGATATGTTCCACAGCAGGCGCGCGTGTTAATAAAAAAATACTTTTTTTCAAATGAAGAAATACATGAAAAGTGATTTCGAATTATATCAAGGAGGTTATGTACAGCGCCATCTGCCTGCGAATAGATCCAGCAATAATGTCGATAATTCTGTCAAATACAGATCTCGAGCTTGAGATTTACAAACATTCATACATACAGGTGAAGCTAATAAAAGCGTGTTAATTAATAGAAAATGCTCAAGACTTTCGCGGACGAGGTTTTCAATGTCACTCTTTTTCGAGTTTGAAGGCCGTGGATTTTTGGAATTTCTTCTCGACGTTTCGCTGGCGCTAGTGGCTATCTTCTTCAGAGGTTCATACATCTTGCGTTTATCTCTAATGACTAGGTATTACGAATGCGTAAAGCGTATTTATGTTGACTCATCCTAGATTAGGTAAATTGTCAATAACATTCCTCTCCCAAGAAGACTGAGATGGTCCTTTTCACCAGGAAAAGAAGTTTATCGGGCTTGAAACCTCCCTTAAATCTTTAAAAGCAAACTAAACTTCTCTGAAGAGGTGAAATACCTTGGTACTAACCTCGCCAGGAAGCTAACATGGAACTCTCATCTACAGAGTAGAGCAAAGAGAGCATATGTGGCTTATGAGCAATGTCGAAGGATAGTGGGACGCGCATGGGGTCTTTCACCCCGTGTGGTCACCTGGATCTACACGGCAATAATAAGACCTATGTTAACGTACGGAGCCATTGCATGGGGACCGAAAGTTCTACAAGCAACTGCTATCCAAAAATTATATCAAATACAGCGATTGGCTTGTTTAAACATCACAGGAGCCATGAGAACAACACCAACCGCGGCAATAGAATTAATTACGAGTCTGACCCCTCTGGACCTGTACGTTAAGGAGGTTGCATTAATGGTCATGTTACGATTGCGCACGGCTGGTGTAAACCTCGAAGTAGGAATGGGTCAATTGAGGCTGGGCCTCTGACGGGAAGCGCTCACTGCGCAACGTCTGCTGCAGACAGCCAGTGATGCAATTGAACCCAGGTTTGTGTTTAATAAACCCTACAAAATACAAATAAAACAGAACACAGAGTCAGATGCTACAAATGCAATACGCATATATACAGACGGCTCAAAAACCAAAGAAGGCTCAGGATGTGGAGTGTACTCCAGATTACTAGGCATAAGGATAAAGTGGGGAGTGGGAAAAAATACCAGCGTGGTTCAAACAGAACTGGCTAGTATCTCAATCGCCACAAAAGAAATAACCAGAAAAGGAATTTCTGGCAAAAACATAACAATCTGCACTGATAACGGACAAGCCCTATTAGCTTTGAACAGACAACGTGTTACTTCAGGGCTAGTACTAGAGTGCCACCAAGATTTAGCCAAAGCCTCGATAGATATCACTTACTGAATTATATCTACAAAGAAGTGGATTCGAATAATTTTGTAATGTCTTTATTTTTTGATCTAACAAAAGCGTCTGGGTCTGCAAATAAAAGATGTCTGCAACAAATTAAACAAGACATTCTTTGCTTCAAGGCAAATGAAATCATGCATGGACACAGCAGGTCTACTAGAAATCTATTTTGCTATGGCATATTCACATATATCCCTCAATATCATAGCATGGGGTTGCAGTAATGAATTCATCAGAGTATTCGTAGCACAAAAGCTCATTGTTAGACTAATTTTCAACACCGAGACAGCTGTAAACCAGTATTCGTTAGGGAAAAATTATTACCGGCTCCCTCCATATACATTCTTAAATGTATAGGATTTGCTAGATCTAACATCCATGAACTAGAAACAAACGCAACGGTGCACAGTTACAACAGACGTCATGGTGATGTTTTGCGTATTCCAAGTCATAAGTCAACGAAATATAAAAAGTCCCCTTTGTATAATGCCATAAATCTGTATAATAAATTACCAGAGCAGATCAAACAAATTACCTCTTATAAAGTGTTTCATGGTAGAGTAAAGCAATTGCTGGTGCAAAAATGTTACTATAGTTGTGATGAATTCCTGGAAGATGATTTCCGTTGAGCAATGATTTTACTTATTTTTTTCCTCTTACTATCTAGTGTTATCTTCAACGCCTGTTCCATATTTTTACTAAGGAATTTATATACGTGTCTTGTCTATATATGTGTGTATGTTTATATATGTGGGTGTGTATATGTGTGTATTTAAATGAAAATAAATAAATAACATTATCCTGAGGTGGATTAAAAGGCATGACAGGAGTAAAGGTAATCGCATTGTCGACTCTTTAGCTAAGGAAGCGGTTGGACTAAGAATTTTAGGACTTCGACAATGGCGGAACTAGCTAAACGTTACACCCATGCTCAATCCCTAAAGAGATCGAATGAAATCAAAGGAAGCAATCTTGCCAGGATCACCCTGGGCAGCTGGCGCCGAAGAAATAACTCGCGATGACCAGGAAAAATCTACGCTTACCAGTAGGATTTCTGACTGGTCACTGTCAACTAAGGAAACACCTCCATAATATGGGGCTAGTGGCACACCTCTAAGTGTACAGGAAGATGAGACTGTCAGGCATGTCCTATACGAGTGTCCGGAGTTATCGTCAATAAGAGAGTGTGTATTCGGCGAGTCTTGGCCTACACCTGCCGATACAAAAGGAGATGTCTCCTAGTGACCTGTCCACCTTCCTGGAAAGGACATGATGCTGCTGATAAACCCGTTGCTGCTTGAAGATGTTCCAGTTCTTCCTCTAGATGCTCTGGTCTACATATTCTTAGAACGCCCGTTCCGTTAGAGTGCAGCCATAACATTGTAAATGATAATAATTAGGCAATTTTCACGAATAAAATTTTTATTATAAGCGGGTTTACCACCGTACCTTCATCGGTAGAGATGATGAAGCCAGGGTTCTTTTCTCTTTCAACAAACGAAACGTTCCAAGATTATTAGTTGCTGCAGAATTATTAGACGAAAATTACCTTGATTATGTTGGCTCCTCAAATGTTGAACTTGGTCTCATATGTAGGAAATAGGATTTGATTTCACATATAGATGACCCTCTTAAAGTTAACTATTGAAAACCGTAGCCTCTTAAGTCTCCCGACTCCACTCATCTCGATTATTTTCTCTGAGCTCCTTTCAAAAGATTGATTTGAAATCAAATTCATGTCTTCGTTTGCAACAGTTAAGTTCCGTGTTATATAGCATATCTTGCATTCATTTTATAGACTATACTTCAAGAAAAGGCAACCGCTGATGGATCTGGGATTCCAGTTAGCTCAAAAATCAATTTCAATCCCAGAATAATAGGTGGCGCAACTGTAGTACCGAATTCATACCCCTTCCAAGCTGCCATACAGTCAATCTACTCGAATTTCAAGGCTTTTTGTGGCGGGACTTTAATAACTTCCCAATGGGTTCTTACAGCAGCACATTGTGTGGACCGGTAAGTAATAATGTGTATCTAGTTTTATATTTCAGGCTGAAGTTTTAAATTTGAAAAACGCCCTTTGCTCCTTTAAAAATATTGAGACATTTATGATGAATTACATCGATTATTATTATTATTTTTATTCGTAATAAACACTCTGGAATCGTAATTATCAGGTCCCAACATTATGTTAGCAGTTTTTTCCAATTCACAAAAAAAGGGATTGCTTAGAAGCAAAAAACTTCCGACAAATTTTCATTTAACCATCTTTCTCTAAGATGATTGAATATGCCATTTACACACAACTTGTTGAATTTTTAGAAGTCAATGATATTTTGAGTCCACATCAATTTGGCTTCAGAAGAGGGAAATCAACCTCTGATGCAATCAACTCTCTCACAAATTACATAAAAGATGCATTTGACAATGAAGATGAATATATTGGTGTATTTATTGATCTCACTTCGGCGTTTGATTGTGTGAATCATAAAATCCTCTTAGACAAATTATACTGGTATGGTATTAGAGGGGTGTGCCTAAATATGATAGAATCATACTTGACTAAGAGATTTCAAGTGGTAGAATGCGGAGAATCTCGTAGTCAAAAAATGAAATTGATAAGAGGAGTTCCTCAGGGCTCCATATTAGGACCACTTCTCTTTCTTACATATATATTAATGATCTACCACATTTCTTGAATTCATCAGATATTAAGACTACCATGTATGCAGATGATGCAACCTTGAGCAGAGCAGTGGACGAACTTAAAACTCCTCAACATACCCTAAATAATATCCTGGACAAAGCAAGATCTTGGTTTGGATCAAATGAACTGATTTTAAATGAACAAAAAACAGAAGTACTAATTTTTGAAACAAGAAACTCAAACCAAGCTGATAAAACTGCAGTTGAATTTTTAGGGGTTTATATTGACACACATTTATCGTGGGTAGAACATATAAATAACGTATGTACCAGGCTGAGTAGGTCAATTAGAGTAATTAAAAGATCTGTGAACCAGAATGCAGTCCTCATTCTCTTTTTCACTCAGTTCTAAGATATGGAATAATATCCTGGGGCAGTGCATCAAAATGTCATCTGGAAAAAGTGTTTATCCTGCAGAAATTCGCTGTAAGAGGTACAACTTCTGCCAGATGGGATGAAACTTGCCGTCCAATATTTAAAAATCTCAAAATAATGACACTGTATTCAGTCATTGTTTATACAAAACCTAATACATATTCGACTAAATATAAATAATTATACCTATCGTACAGACATACACCATCATGATACTAGAAATAAATCAGACATTGTCATGCATGCAAATAGACTGAAAAGGACTGACAATATTGGCCTTAAGCTATACAATACTCTGCCACTAGACTTTCTCAATTTGTCATTCAATAGATTTAAGTACTCTCTGAAGTTTTTTTTTACTGAAAATCCTCTGTATGATATCAATGAATTTTATGGAAGTGTTCAATTGAATAGAGATGCCTTCAATGTGGACACCTAAACAATAGGTGTGTTCCCAGTTGACTAATATGTATGTGTATTGTAATTTAAATCAAATGTTTGTACTGAACGTCTTTACGATCTTGATATTCTTGATGATCTCAAAATAATTTTTTTCAACCTTATGATTACCATCTAATTCTCAAATTCAATCATGTAATTTAATTTGTTTTAATGAGTATAGTGATTTGTTTTAATGAGTATGTCTTCGTATTTTTTTTTCTCAATTCATGACCACCATTGATTGTGGAATCTTAAGATGTATATAGTCTGATTTTGATTGCGCCATTTGTTTTGACATGTCTATAAACCTTGTGTTTCTCAAGACGAATAAAGATATTATTATTATTATTATTGCGTTGCTAGTATTACATAATGATAGCAACGCAACTTTGAGTATTGAGTTGCAGTGTAAGTTACAGAGCACCTGAAAAGTACCTAATTTTGGCATTTTGTAAGTGCAATTTTCGTACTTTGCGTCGCTGGCGTAACAGAGCTAAACTAATCAACATTATCTTTTTAGAAATCCAAAACATATCGAAGTAGTCTTGGGTGCTCACAACTTATCCGTTCGTGAACCGACTAGACAGTACTACAAAACTACTAACTATAAAATGCATCCATGGTGGAACGCCACGACCTTACAGTACGACATTGCTCTGATCAAACTGCGCCAAAACGCCACTCTGAACAGTTTTGTTGGAATCGTCAGCTTAGCTAAAGGAAGTGACACGTTCGATGGGAGAATTGGCATCACTTTAGGTTGGGGGCAAACCGAGACAGGAAATGTATCTAGTGTGTTGAAGGGGGTGGAAGCAACCATTTTGTCGAATAGGGGATGTAGAAACTATCGTTCGTATAACCAGGTAAATAGCATAGGTACACTGGTTTCTAGTACTAAGCGATTTTTACAAAGCGTGTCACAAAAACAGAAAACAAATTGAATATTCTACTTGCCGGAAAACACTTTTCTGATTAATCTAAAGATGGACAGTTCTTGCAAATGCTTCTTGTTCGTCCTTCAGTAAGACTTATCTGAAATCAATCGAGAAATAACCTATGCAGACCGGTTCCGAAGTATTATTCCTCAACAGTGTAGGACAGTCAGATAGTTTATGTTGTGCAAAAAAGCTGAAAAGTTTCAGAACATTAAGAGGGTTGTAACTCTGGAAATGAGGAAGACCACCATTTTTTTTTCGGGTTCGTAATCTACCCCTCAAAATACGTCACTACACACAATTTTTTTTCCAAATCGGCGGATACAGCCCATTTGAAATTTTACCTTTGCTTTTAACCTAACTCCATCTACTGCTCTGACCAATAAAATTCAGTAAGGTCAATTTCAAATAAAAATTTGATATACTTACCTCTCCCAACGTACTGTTTTCTGTGGGAGAAGAACATCTCAGTAGCACTTGTGCTGAGTTGAATTTCGCCTTTTGTTATATCAGCAACTAGCTCTGTAATTTATCTAAATGTTATTATGTAACTACAGCTAGGAAACAATAAAGACAATTATTATTATTATTATTCCGTAAGTTATCAATCATCAAGATTCTGCTGAAGGACGAACTAAAAGCATCTGCAAGAATTTTTTCTCTGAGATAACTCACACAAATGTCTGTTGGATATAATACAATGTCTGTCCTAGTATTAGCCAGGAAACTTGCAATATTACGACAAAAACTCACCAAATACTATTGTCTAAGAATGTTATAAGGCTTGAATACTTCGAATTTTTAGATAATCACACCTCGCCACATCTGCACCTCCGGATCAAGCCTCACGGGGCCGAAGGGTAGCTGTAATGGCGATTCTGGAGGACCTCTTCTGGTGAATGGGGTCCAAGTAGGTATAGTTTCCTTCGGGCCTGAAAACTGCATGCTCTCTCTACCGTCCGTCTTCACCAGAGTTAATAAATATGTCAACTGGATTGAGAGAACTATATCCAGTGCCACAAGACTTTCTTTGAAAGTTTGTTATATCCTTTCACTTGTTTTTCTAGCACGATTTATTTCGAAATAGAGAATCAGTAATGGTCGATTTGAAATTACTGACACACGTGATTGGAATTTCTAGAAAGCAATTTCGAGATAATGGTAGAAGAAAAAGAGACTGAATTTTGGTAGAAATTGAAAATAATAGAAGGCTAGTAAATACAGATATTTCAACGAAAAACTGCAGTTTTACTGTGTTATTATTTGTATCAACTTTAAAATGAACCTACATAAAGTAGTTGTTTCTAAAGTATTCTTCTTTCATGTAATTTAATGTATGCAGTGCTTTTGTTTGATGCCCCCCCCCTTTTATTTTTTGAACGGGTCAACTAAATTTGGGATAATGAAATTAATGCATGATGGAAAGAGGGATCTTGTGACACATCTTTTTGAAGCTCCTGACAAATGCTTCACAACCATAGAATATAATGTCAATATCTTGAACTACTACAAAATGGCGGAACTTTTAATATTTCACGCCGAACATTGTCGAACACAGTAACGTCAATATCTCTACAAATATTTATTATTCTCTGCCGTATATCCAATACTGAAACAGGTTCACTTTCGTACACCTTTTGCTTCAAATAGCTCTATAAAAAAGTCCCAAGGTGTCAAATCTTGCGAGCGGGCTGACCATTCTGTAGGATTTCAACGGCCAATCCAACGACTGGGAACCAATTTTCCTAGTCCAAATAGTTTCTTTCTTGTCTGGAGTAATGTGGTGGTACTCCATCTTGTTGGAATACAATATCCATATCGAAATCATTAGGATTTGCTTCGACGATTTCAGTGATGAGAGAGTCAACAGTAGTTTCCAGCATAAAACACAGTTCGCCTGTTAAATTTTGATCAATAAATAAAGGTCCTACAATATGCTTTCCCAATATTCCTGCCCAAACGTTAATTTTTTCTGGATATCAGGTATGTGTTTCCCAGAAAACGTGAGGATTGGTGTCACTCCAATAACGGCAATTTTGTCTGAGCATTGTTGTTCCAAAAAAAAAGTACATTCGTCACTACAACAAATATTGTGGAGATGATTAGGATGCCTTGCAATGGTTTCCGTCATGATTTCGCCGAACTCAGTTCTTTGATCAAGGTCATCATCAGTTAATTGGTGTACCATTTGAATTTTGTATGGACCAGTCGCCATCTTGAAAGTTTCTTCTCTCAATTTCACTTCGAAATAAAGTATTCATGCATTAATTTCATTATCCCAAATTTCAATTTTTTCAATTGACCCGTTAAAAAATAAAAGGGAGGGGAGGGGAGAAATGCACTGCTTATGGAATCAGTTGTTTTGAGAGGGCTTTTTCTTTCAGGTTGGGTCTGAAAGTTCCATTTTTGAATAATTGTATAGAGTTAATTTTTCGAAATTACTTTATTGTGAGATTTTTACTAAGCAGTTGATGATGTTGCAACAGAAGTTTTACTACGCAATAGCCTTTTGAGGGGTGTGTATTACATATTTCACTACTAGCCATGCCTGCATAAACTATTATGTAGTGAAACACGAATCAAGGTTTTGTAAACTGTTTAGTTAAAATTTCAGCATGAGGTTCATCAACTATGTATCAAGTATCGGTCAATTTCATCACACATGTATTATTGAGAGTATTCAACATAAAATAAATAAAATTATCCTGTACAATAAATGCATTCAATTTGACTTACTACACCCTATAAATCTACAATTTGGAAACAATTCTATGACGAGAATAGTTTTAAGAGAAAAGCAAATACCAATATTCCTCCAACATATTTTACAACATTCATCTGTAAATCAGTCATTGCACCTTGTTCTGTTTCGCTCGTTAGTATACCTGCGGTATGTCGCTCTCTCATTCCTTCATTATTCAAAAACCTGACAACCCTGTTCAAAGTTTCCCTATTCTGCAATACTTCTTTAACCAAACTCTCGCTCGTCTTAGTTGAATTTATAACCTGCTGTAAAGCATCTCTATTTTTAATAACTTCCCTCATAGTCTTCTCGTTTGCTTCTATCACATTGTGAACTAACGGTTCAGAACTGCCGCTCAACTCCAAAGTAGATAATTTCTCGTCGATGAACATCTTCAAATCATGTTTCTTGTATGTTGTGTAAACAAAAGCTAAAAACGAGCCCGCAATGCTCAGAATCAGCCCCAGATATTTGGTGTACTCGAGCTGGGCTCGTTGCTTCTCATGAGAATCTCGAATAGCATTGGCAAAAGCAGTAAAGAGTTCTCTTTCAGTCTGATCATATTCTTGAAACGTATTCAGTACCGATCTCTCTAAAGTTACTATCTGGAAAAAAAACATTATGTAATCATCAGGTACAGAGGGGTTTGTGCTGAATTTATTAATTTTTTTATCGTTACTTACATATTCATGAACGTTAACCACCAATCTGAAGTTGAAGTTTGGTTCAAGTATCAACTTTTGGAGATGATTCCATTTCAAAGTCCAAAAATCGATTTATTTTGTACTCATATTTGGTAATAACACGTTCATAAATTTGACACTTTTTTGTTACAATCATTTTGTGTTGACATTCATTTGCTCAACATATATATTTTGTTTCTGTGCCGAAGTAAACTTGGCAATAGACACATTCTATGCAATAATTTATTCAATAATGGACCAATGTGTTCCTCTTAGACCGAATTTTACCAGTAAATTTCCACCCTGGTTCAACAGGGGAATCATAAAAGAGATCAAACTTAAAGATAAATTATTTTAAAGGTTGAAATCAAACTATGCAGAAACTATACGTGATCAATTTAGAAATCTTCGTAGGTCAATAAAAACCCAGATATCACAAGCCTACAAGGAGTACAAACAGAAAGCAGAAAATTTGATCAGAACTGATCCCTCCTCATTTTGGACCTATATGCAAAGTAAAAAAGGCACTTCAAGAATTCCGAATGTTTTATTCTTAAATGATAGAGAACTGAAAAACCCCACTTCAATAGTGAATGCATTTGCTGAATTCTTTGAAAGTGTGTATGTTCCTTCTGATAGTAATAATAAAAACCCCTCAAGAAAACCAACAAATTTTCCCACAATAACAATAAATGCATTCTCCGAAGAAGAGATTTTGCAAACTCTCAAAAAATTGAAACCAAAATTCACAGCGGGAGATGACAACCTTCTGCATCTGTGTAGTTAATATTTCTGCCTTAGTGCGGCAAGCCGGTATGATTTTTAGATTCGAGAGTAGAGAGGACATCATTCCACCAAGGACTCCAATAATCAGAACAACCATCTTGACAGAGTGATCTGGATAGAGTCTGCGGAGTTCGAAGAGAAAATCTCGATATTTTATCCGTTTTTCCTTTTTTTCTGACGATATTTGTCTCGCCAGGAGCTGAAAACTTCACGACAAATATCGTTTAGCTCTGGTGGACGAGAAGGACTTCATCAGGCTTATTAGCTTATATGAGCCTGAGGGTGGGGAACGAATAGTTCCAATAAATTCGGCACTTCTCGTTCCCCACAACGGATTCAATATCCCCAGGAGCGTAGGGCAATACCGGTGTCTCGTCAATACCGTAAAAGTGCTGTAGATGATAATATAGCACTCTTAGAGCCGCGTTATGTCGATGGATATAGGCCGAGACCGCATATGCTGGACATGCTGATAGCAAGTGCATTAGGGTCTCGGGCGCCTCGCGGCAGGCCCTGCACCTTGTGTCAGGAACCTCTATACCCATCATGCGACTGCGGTAGACTAAGGTGTTGAAGACACCATCCTGATGAACCCCTCAGTTTCCGACTTCAGCCCACTCGACCTGAGAAAAGCGAACGTCAGGCGCTTTGATGAGCCAAGGTCTTCAATGTTATTGAAGAAGACCCCATGCATTGGCTTATCTTTGTGTTTCCGCAGAAGTAAGGTGATCTCTGCAGCTTTTATCTGAGCTTTTTGCTGAACGGGTTCCAACTCGGTGACAGAGTTGTGGTCACCTCCCTCAGTGTCGAAAACTATAACGAGTTCATCAGCTGCTCGGGAAGCTGCCCTAAAGAGAAATGCTCCAATATCTGCTCTCTCATGGTCACGGACCGTGCAGAGAAGGGGATCCGAACTCCTGACGACTTTACAGACTGTATCCAGTACCTTTCTGTCATGTAGACACTCCAAATTCAAAAGTCCACGGTTCCCCTGTTGTCGGGGGAAGTACAATCGTGGAACGGACGATTTGGGTGCAAACTCCTCCATTTTTCGGGTCTTCACGTCGAGTTGATACAGCTCCTGCCGAGTCCACTTCACTACTCCAAACGAGTAGAGTAAGATTGGAACGGCAAGCACATTTGTTGCAGCAACTTTGTTCTTCCCCGACAGTTCCAATGACCAGATCTGTCGAAGTTTGTGCTGATACTTGCCGCGGAGAGAGTTTTTCACTGCTGTTACCTCTTGTGAGTGGCGTTGTTCCACCCCGAGGTAAGTATATGTCTCTCTGGCATCCAGATGATGTAGGATGCTTCCATCTACGAGCTACGTATCCTCTCCGTATTCCCGTATTCCCCGCATCGTCCTCTTTTGAGATGGACCATTGCACATTTGTCTATCCCAAATTTCATACTGATAGCATGTGTGTACTCCTCCACCACCCTCAAGGACTGATGGAGATCCTTCTCTCCAGAGGCATAAAGTTTAAGATCATCCATATAAAACAAATGGGTGACCTTGTGCCTCCGGTTTCGCAAAGAATATTGTCGAATTTGGGACAATACAACAAGACTTTTTCTTGTGAGGTTTCCTCAAGTCGCAAGTGTATGCGAAAATGAGCCACAAACCACAGCGGTCCTCAATGCCAACATAATCCATGCCATTGGTCAAATTCTGCTTGATTTATGCGCAAGAGACATGGAAAATTGGACGTTTTGGATGCGCTACACCCAGAGAAGTGGCATGATGCCAAGTTGGATAAAAAAAGGATGACAATCTGAATATCAGAAAATGTAAATTATATTTCAGTTAACATTTCAAAACTATTAGTTTTCATTTTACGAAAAACTTTATCACCTAACTGTTAGATCCACAAAAACTTTGCATCAGAAAGGTTTCAGAATAAAATTTCAAGATTTTATGCATATAAAATGAACATCCATGAATGAATCTCAGTTTAATGGGTGAGTGAAGAGAAAATTCTGATATAATATTTATGTACAAATTAATGGTCTTGTTATATGCACTGAACTCCTAGATAGAATCCATCTACATGTGCCTACTATAACTCTCAGGAATACTGATCTCTTTCACATTTCTTTTCATACCACCAACTATGGTGTACATTCTCCTATCGATCGCACATTCAATAGGATTAATAACATAAAATTGGATGTTAGTGGTATTACGTTATCTTCATTAAAAAGTAGTCTGTAGACAGAATTATAACATTTACTTGTGTATACTAATTTATTGTTCTTGTACTTAACTATCTCTTTTATGTTTATCAACTCTATTTGTATTATTACTTGACTATGTATATTATGTAATGGGGATAACCTGTATGAATTCAGCCAATTGTTGGCTATTTTTCCTACTCTGTCAGTTTGTAAAACAATAGTTTATGCTCAATTGTGTCAGAAGCTCATCTTGGGTCAAAATAAAAAGCAGTTGGTTTTTTTTTTCATCAAGTGCATCTCTAGACAAATTAATGATTTAGTTCACTGAAATTTTTTATGAATTCCTGGCTAACAGGTTATTCATTTCTAAGAAAGTGAGTTGGATACCTAATACAAGAAATTTCATATAGAAAAAAATCAGAAGTGACAAAAGACTAAATATCCGCAGCATGTGATTGTGACAAGAAGGTGTCATTTCAAAGTGTTTATTTTAGAAAATAGTAATTTTTTTTTCACTTTCTGGGTGACCCATCTCGAACCAAGTTGTGACTCAGATTTGTGACTGTCAAACAAGTAACTATCGCAAGTCCTTGTGCCAAAAAATTAAAATTCAGTGAAAAACACATTACCTCCCGTTCTTCTTTTATTAACTGACAGTATACATCAAATTTCTCTTTTCTGTCAATGTGCTGTATCTGGTTTTGAATATCCACAGACCTCTGTCGTACCTCATTCAACTGTTTGGACACTTCTCTTCGCTTCTCTTGTGTCTTCAGCAGTTGTTCCTAGAAGAAATTCTTCAGTACTCATTCTTTGGAAGGATCTCTTCCTACCTGCAAAGCAGTAACCCTATCCTGATATAGTTTAACTTCATCCAATCCGATGATTTTAACATACCATTTGTTTAAATTTGCTATTTTGTCATAAACTATTTTTTTCTTCTCTTCTTTCACTGACTTGAGATATTGTGGTGCTTCTGCTATGGTCGCTTTCATTGTCTTTTTTAAAGAGTCAGCGTCAACCTCCTTCGTTCCCGTAACCTTCAGATACCATTCATTCAGAGTGGTTATCATTTTATTCCTTTCATTTTTCACAGTGCTCAAATATTGAGGAGTTTCTGATATTTTCTCCTCAACGGTCTTTTTCAAGGACTCCAACGATTTGCTGTTTATAGACCTCAGTACCCGAGTTATTTTCATCATAAATTATAATTAATAATTGCCAATAAGATAATTACATTTTCTTTCCTATGAACTAACTACATAGGTTATCATAATTATCCTCTCCTCTTGGATTCCCAGAAGTTAGACATTTGACACAGCAGTTGGACCACAGAACTAACCACAGAACTAACTTCGTCTTCTTCTGCTCATTTCCTTAGCCGCAAAACTCAAGGAAATCGATGAAAATATGTTGAAATTTCATAAAGTGTGGGTGCAAGATAAACTTCAAAATTTAAAAAACAGTAGTACTGTTGGGAAAGGACTTCTACACTCCCTGGATAAAGTTCTGTTATGCAACGGGAAGAGAACTGAGACCATTAAGTTAAGAAAGAGAAGAGAGAGCAGCATAGATATGTTTGAGGGATTTATGTTAAAATAGTGAGAAGAAGAAACATATCACCATCATCAACTTTGTGATAGTAACAAGTAACTGAATCTGGTCTACTGCGCTGAGGGAAAGCAAAGACCATAAAAAACCAGAAGAAGAAGTAACTGATTAACCTTTTTGACGTTGCTTTTTTAGGTTTTGAAGTTTCACTTAATAATGAGGATTTTTCAAGCTTTATTCCGTCGTAAAAATATGCCAAATGGTCACATATACAGAGGCAAAAATAAAATAATTAAAGAAGTAACGATTGCGGACATTCAAAAATTAAAAACTCAATTTGAAATAGAGGAACAAAATATGTTTTACCTAAGGCATGCCTATCTCACACCTGTAAGTATACTGTGAGTGAAATCAATAAATATTTGGGGAACTTTGGTCTTTTTAAAGGAACAGTCCGCGGGGCATGCCAGAGCATTGGGCAAGAACGAAGAGAACTTCATCAAAACCAAGACGAAACAAAAACCTTTTTTTGAACACGTTACCATCGAATCTAGGCTAGCTCACTTGAGAGTGAATGAAGCATGGGACTGAATATTTTGTTGAAAAAATTGAAATAATAGTCCAGAGTAGTGATAGTTTTATGGTAATAAATAAAACAAAATTGAAAGTAATTGTTCATGTCCACTTTTTTCTTCATCGTTTTTTCATTTCGATATATTTATGCAAGAACTTTTGAGGTATTATTAGTCAAAGTAACCAGATTCAATTACACAGTTGATGAATCATTTCTGGAATGACAGTGTCTAACTAATAAGCAGATGTCGATAAAGAATAATTAATATTTGAAATACTGCTTATGTAATTTCCCTCACAACACAGGATCGATTTGAGATTGAAAGTAACCCATACTAACCCTTAACAGAACAAGTAGATTTACGAGCTTGTGCAGGTGACCCTTGACGTATTGAAAAGAACCATGGAAAGAATGGTGGCATGTATCATTCTCCAAAGAATGGGACGATTTGTTTAAAGTTTATGATAGGAATAGTAGAATTCTTTTTCTCAGCAAACCCTGATTTGACTCCACATCTCTCACTTGTGAGTGAAATATTTAGGTATTTTCCTCGATAAAAAACCCGCCTGAAACATTGAATTGCAAACGACTTCACAAAAAGCCGGACCCAAATCCATTGAGTATATAAAATCATATATGTACAACAAGAAATGCACATGAATGTTTTTTATTCTTTTGAATAATTTATGTCGTTCTCTGATATCTAAAACAGCGAGAGACATTTTCTTAACTCTCTATGTCTTCATAATATTCAAATTTCAAAATGGCAATTATAACTCTGAAAATTCTGATGACCTAAAACCATAATTATCACTAATGATACTTTAAATAGTAATGTTAGATTTCTACCTCCTAATCAACAATAACAATAAATACAATTCTGGGAAAGCATCAGATACTTAAATTTTGACAACCATAAGTTCTTATACACCCCAGTAGTGAATAGTATCGGAGATTTATCCCAACGCCAAACCGTTATTTTCAAATGGTGTATGGTATTTTTTATGAAGTGTGTACAAACCCCGAATATTGAGGTTATGCTTTTATTTTCATGTTGCTTATATTTTTTGTTTGTATGTCTGACTATATAGTCTGATACGTTTTATAAATATAGATTCACATGCAGCTTGTCAAATGTAGGAAGAGCTTTCTGAATTCCGTTATGGTCCTGCCCACTAGACGCGTTTGTTAGAATATGAGAGAGATATTCTCAAGTCTCTTCCTGGATCTGAAAAGCTGTACTACTAGATCTTGTAAAACTTTAATGATGAATGATCTGTAAAGTGTCAATCTCTCATTTAATAAATTAAACAACAATGGGTATATAACTTTTTGAATTACATACCTATTTCCATAATATTCTGCCGAACTGTATTCAATACATGAAAACTATTTACCACAATACTGCTAAACAGTAGCAAAAGTCTCTAATCCATACTCCGAGTAGAAATTTGTCAACCTTCGAACGCATGCCATCATATTGTTGTTGTAACCCAACAGATCGCTCATAACGTCTTGGTCTCTGTTGGGTTTTTCCAAACCTAAAATGAAGACGAGATTCCTTCTGTTGGGAGTAAATCTAGAGAGAACATTGAAGAGCTGACTCCCGAGCCAGCCTTGGAAAGGTTCCAATGTTTCGGCGTAGGCCTTCTTCAAAAACGTGCCCAAATCGTTGGAAACGCGTTCGTTTTGGGAGTCCTCTATTACATACTGGTAGAAAAGAGATACGAAGTGAAGCTCTCTCTTCAGCCACATAAGAGAGTCAGTAGCAATGTTTTCTCCCTCTATCTGCTCCTTCAAAATCATATCTTCCAGATATTCGTTGCCTTCGTTGCGTTCCTTATCTTTCTCGTATATAGACAGGACTTTTTGTATATTTTCGTTCATATCGTTGACTACGGCTGCAAACACTTTTCCGAATTGCGCTATCAAATCGACTGCTGCGGAAGAAGCTTGTATAAAGTCTTGGGTTTTTATTTTTTCGCTGGCGTTTGGAAAATGGACAAGCGTTGTGAAAATTGTCGGCTCGCAACTGGAATGTGTTGGAGAAAGTTCCGACATTTTTACTGTCTTGAGCACTTCAATTTTGAATTTTTTGACAGTTGTCAATTAAACAATATATATTATTCCAAGCATTTTAGGTTTTCATTTTCTTGCACTCAAAAAACACTTTTTGTTATAAATCAAATATGTGAAGAGTAAAACTTACTTAATTTGCCCAAAAATGTTACTGTGGTGGTGCAGGTTTTCCTGCAGCTGAAAAAGCAATTGCGCCACTGGAATTTATCAAGTAGCCCCGGAGCGCCAATTAATTTTTATTGTTTCATAATTTGTATATGAATATATACTCTATTAATCTGTTTACACCACTCAAACAATGAACAAAATATTGCTGTAAATCATGCCCGAAAGAAAATAACGCCGGCCGCTACTGGTAACCATAAACTGGTAAAGCGCGCGAATATACGATGATTCACCGCCACTCTAGAAGCAGCAAAAATAATGCTGCCGATTTCGACGGAACTTTGGCGGCAAAATTTTTACGGCATTCGATTACGATAATTAAAGGCTAGCCACGAGGATATCGCGACACAGTCAAGTGGAAGCTACAGTGCGGTACGCGAAGCGATCAAGAAAGGCGGTAGACAATCAAATAATAGGTGAACTTTAGTTGAAGTGTTTGTTGTATTTAAAGTGAAATAAAGTTAAGTTTGAATATTCAGTGCTAGTCATAATTGGTCAACACATTATTATTATTATTATCAATGATTTTTATCTCACTGACAAAGTGAAAAAAATCTTTAAATAGAAAATAAAAATGTATATAAATGAAACTATCATGAAATTGTTGAAAAGTGAAAATGTAAAATTGAATAAGTACTCTTCTTCTGAAACAATTAATAGAGACAAGATGCTGATTACAGAGACTATTTTCCAGAAGTAAATGATGAACCACTTCCGGCAGCTTCAGAAGAAGTTAGAAAAACCACCAGAAACAAATAAATTTGAAAATTACGTCACTTATATGTGCGCGAAAGTGAGTCAATCTCGTGATAATATAGATGTCAATATTGCTCCGATTAGTGTTAAAGAGGCTTTTTTGGGGCCTGATGCTTCAAAAACAAAATGGGTAAAAGCAAATGGAAGAGAAACTCCATTCATTTCAAAGAAATGAACCATGAGAATTTGTAGGGCCGCCAAGATTTAGTCATAGTAGATAAGTGGGCAGTGGCGTAGCGTAGCGGGGGCGGCCCGCCCCGTGCGGCACTTTTTAGGGGCGGCAAAATTTCACAGTAAATAATAAAATATATTTTGTAAATATTTAAACCATTTCATATTTTAACGCAAGTGTAAATTCAGACCGATTGACTTATTCTGTGAGGAATTCGGGGAATCCCCTTTCTTTGAAAGATATTTTGTAGTGAATGGTAACACCGTCTATACTGACTTGCGGAAATTTCCCATATTTTATTTTGTGCTTGGATTGTTTATGACTTATAATCAATGAGAATGACTTCCATTACATATTTATTAAGTTCAATATTGTTTATTACGTCCCTTTAAAAAAGTATGTGATGCTTTGCCGCGATAAATAAAGTTTTATTCGTGGATCTTGAGTTGTTTAGTTCACAGTTTCGTAACTGTAATTTTTGCGAGGGCCGCAAAATTGTCTTCCGCCCTGGGCAGCCGATACAAACGCTACGCCACTGTAAGTGGGTCTTAAAAACTTAATTTGATAGAGAAGGTAATGTTAGTTATAGGGCCAGTTTAGTACCTAGCTAGAGGTTTTGTATAAAAAGAAGGGGGTAGACTTTGATGAAACATTTCCTATAGTTGTTAATAGGCACTGTACATTAAGAATGCCTATTGCTTTAGCGGTAAAACTTAATTTAGACATTTGGATGTGTGTACAGCTTTTTAAATGATTTCTTAGATAAGCCAGTAAACATGAGCTCTCAATCATTGAATACCAGAATAACTATTACTTTTCAAAATCAAGCTGTTTACCTACTTTGCAGTGAAACACGTTTTGAGTAGAGTTCATAGCGTGAACATTTTTCAATTACCATAAATATACCATGAATATAACAAAAAAATTTGGATCAAAATAAACTCTTGCGTTTGTTGACGTTCATTTATTACTAACAAACATATATAAAATCCAAGAATGGTCCTGATGGAAAAACGATAAATGCATGCAGTCATTTGAACTTATTTTGAATAAGTCATAAATCTTAAAAATCCTATTTCAAATGGATAAAGTGCCATTTGTCTACTACGGTGTCAACTGGATGTGCATCTCCAAGTTCAGGGGTTTTGTTTATCACATCTTTGGCCTCACTGACAGGAATCTTGAAAGAGTTTCCATCTAGGGTGGTATTCACACAGGATATTCCCTTAGCTTCAACTTCCTTAGAAACCAGCGATTTCCAGAACCTTAAATTAACCACAATAAAATGGATAAACTACAAATATGTTTTGAAATACTGTGATCAGTAATGTTTATAAACAATATAGTTCTTATCTTTTCCCAGTTATTTCAAATCAGCATCCTAATATACAAAAACATTTTAAAATTGGATAGTCATAGTCCAACTTCATAACACAAAAATATGTATGCTCGGAATTATTGAAGCATTCAATAAATAGGAAAAATAACAATGTAAATTACAAATACTAGATATACATGTTATTATAATATCAACGTTAATGTGGATGTTGTATCTTCAAATGACTAGTAAGTACTTTTTTGAATGTCATAATAGATTCACTTTGTTTTGTTTCAAGCGGGAGGTTATTGTAGTCCTATAGTCCTTTATGGAATAAGGATTTCATGGATCGTGTAAAAGTCAAACGTGGTACATATAAATTAGAATTTCCTCTAGCGGGGTAATTATGAATTTGATGATGGAAAACAATAAATTGGCCAAAATATGGGGGTGCATTACCGGACAATATTTTGAAGATGAATACCATGGTAAGATAGAACAGACGGTATTTCACAGAAAGTCAATCCAATCCTCCTCAGGTATAATACACTTGTGCCATAATTTTTTCAACCCTCGAAGCAGTTCTAATATGCACTTTTTATGTGTCCCTGAGCTCTCTCAGCGATTTGGTTTTTATCAGGGGGTCAAATCTGGCGAATACGGTGGCTTAGGCATAATTATGGTGTTGCTTTTTGTCAAAAATTAAGAACAAGCAATGACCACTGAGTAGGTGCATTATCGTGATGCGAAAGCTCTGAATAATTTTTCCACAATACCAGACGTTTTCTTCGTATTGCTTCTCGCAAGCAGTGCATAACTTCAAGATAATACTTCTTAATGACCGTACGACCATGTGGCAAGAACTTCTGATGCACTAGCCATGGTAATCGAGAAAAACAGTGAGCCCAACCTTGACATTTGGTCGAACTTGGCGTGCTTTTTTTGGTATTGGCTCTCCTGGGCTCCTCCATTGACACGATTAGACTTTGATTTCAATGTCATAACCAGATACCCATGATTTTTGATTATTTATTCAAAAATCTTCCATGGCACTTGTAGAATTGAAATAGGTCTAAAATTATTTGGAATACCTTTTCCTTTTTGAAAACTTCTATCAATTTTGCTTGCCTGACTTCCTCAGGACACACACCCTTAATTAACCAACATAACTTAACAGTTTTCATAATACATGCTTTTTTATGTGTGCCGAGCTTGTGCCAAATTTCAAAAATGATCAAGTGATGGGAAAAAATAATTTACAATGCCTTCCACTCCACCTCTACTTTTCAAACAACAAAAAATGATTTTTATTACCTACCTGTGAACTTCATCGATAATGGTGTGGGCAAAAGAAGCTGATTTCGCCTCACCATTGAAAGCGAACTGGTTCTCTGGTTTGCCGTCTGGAATTTTGTATATTTTGAACCATTCCACAGAGGCTTTAAGAAGCCCTGGAAAATGTTTCTCGACGTCAGGAATATCATTTACTTGGTCAGCTATGGGGTCATTTACGTCAATAGCAATGAGTTTCCAGTCAGTTTCGCCCTCATCAATGAGGGCAATAGTGCCCAGAATCTTGACGTTGAGCACTTCACCTCTTTTGGCCACCCTGTAACCGATTTCAATGACGTCGATGGGGTCGTTATCACCTAAAATGTTATTCTCTTTATATTTTGTCTACAAGTTATCAGCAACTATAAATAATAATAACTGTGTTGAAAATACTCATTAAAAAAGGATCAAAAGGAGAAAATCTTGTGGTAATGGGGGTATATTATTTTTTATTTTTTTAAATTCTTAATGATTTCCAAGAGTCCAAAGGATGAGATTTATTCATATATGGTATGATTCTTTTCGGAATTTCAAAGATTCCCTTTACATGTGCAGGGTTGCCCCAAAAAATCAGATAACAAATGAATATGAGCTATAACACATCTGTAGATACAAACATAAATTTGACTCATTATTTTAAAACCCAAGGTCATAAGTTCTTTCTATTACTCTAATATTCAGAGTATTGCATCAGCAAGATATAAAAATCAAAATAAGTTTCTGCATTGGAGGAAGTCTTCTTAGCAGAACAACCAATATCCCTGTTAAATGAATATTAACAAAAATAAGAATTATAGTTTTCTTGTGAAGTATTTTGTCAGCTTAATGGGATTCTAAATTTCATTAGGCTGACTTTTCATTAAACCCCGTATTCAAAAATACCTTTGCAACCAGTTCCATCATCCAAATGTTCTGGATTTTCCCAGGTCTGGGGCAAAGCCCCGTAGTTCCAGATATAACCATGATGAGGGAAGCAGTTTGCAACGAATCTGGGCTTTCCCTTTTTGATGTCTTGCTTGATGGGGTTCAGAATTTCCTTCATTGTGATCTCCATTTTTGCGTTCGTCCATCTGGGAACTTCCACAATCATGTTGTATATATTTTTTGCGGCATCCACGACAAGCGGTATATCGTGTAAAGGCGAAACAGGTCCATTTTTATCTTGTATGTAAACTCTGTAGTTTGGTGAAAAAGGATTTCCTCTTTCCACGGTAGTATAAGCCATGGTGTTAATTTTTAGTAACGGCGAAAAAAATTGAGACGCTCGAAGAAACGTACACCGGGAACTAGTTACGTGCACACCACAACGCAAAATCGACCTAATGACCATGACCGACTGTTTTAGCACGGTTGAGTTGGAAATTCCACTAGGCACATATCGTACTTTGGACCCTGAAGTTGACCTTGAAAATTACATTATTGATAAACGATAAGGTATGTGCACCTATTTGTTATGATTCTTACTATATTATATAATAGTACCGTCGCGAGGCTGAGAACTTTCTATTTTTGAAGAAATATCATTTTATGTTATGTCAGCCTTATTATTGATGTAAAAATAATCAGTTCTTCGAACCTTTTGTTATGAATTTTACTCTCGTGTCAAACCAGATAAATTCTTATTTCCATTGAAGTTGATAAAGTGATGTTAATAAAGCTTGATTCGAAAATTTTTGAATTACAAAAAAAAATAGTTATACATCGAAAGCTCGTACCACAGAATATTTTTACAGAAGGAACGCTCTTTTGGAGGCAATTTGAGGTTAGGGTGGAGTTTCTGAATCTTATTTTCTGTGTTAAGGGTATTTAATGTTATTTTTATCGATAAATTCAAGTTTCTAAAACTTATTGAGTATATAATTTTATTTGCAGTTAAGGAATGATCAGGATATCATATTGACAGGTTTATGCTTTTGTAAAGGAATTCTGCGTTCCTTTGGCCTTGAGGCTCGTGCCTCAACGAGTGCTACAACTACAACGAGTTATCCTAACCTCAGCTTTTTTCCTAACCTCTTTTCTTGTAATCATGGCTTTTAGTAGAGTTAATTGTTTACTATTGAATGTTGTTAAAAATAACATTCAAATTGTGCAAATATGCCGTAGTTTTGCAAACATACGTTTTCCGCCAACCACTTTCAATTTGATTTCGAACCTCAAAAAATTGCCTCTCAAAAATACTTGCACAATTTTGCATAAGGAACTATCTACTGTGAAATCCTCCAGTATACACGATACAATTTCTTCAATTCAAGTTAAGAAACGAGTGACGAGAAAAAAGAAAATTTTGGAGGAGGAGGAGAAACCTGGAATCTTCAATGTAGTAGCTTTCGCCACTGCAGAGGAATACGATCTAGAAAAACTTGTGAAGGGTTTAAAAGAACAGAATCTCTACGAACCCAAAGAAATAAAAAATAATACTGACGTTGTACATGCTGTGGCGAAATATAGGGTGAACGAGGAACCTAGAGAAATATTTTTTTTCAGGGAAGGTATGACTGCAATGAATTTGAATGTAGCATTTCAACCATGTATCATTTCAATAAAAATATACTTTATTCGGCTTAAAATTTGTTCAATTCAATTAATGACTTGAATGAAGAACAGGGCACTTTTGTTATTTTGGCAAATAAAAACGGATAACAAGTTTAAATTGAATTATCAGCCATTTAACATATCATTATTAATCAGGAATGTTGGTAGTCTATCTTTCACTAATCACTCTATATTTTTTTCTGAAGTGAAATTGTTTGGAAGATTAGTGGTTCTGATGTATCACCACCCTCATTGATAGGAATATTGTAGCTAGTTTTTTTCCAGGTAGTGTAATTTTATGGAACATTACAGACCTTGAAAGTGGCAACATTTTGAATTTTCTGAGAGAATATGAGGAAGACAGCTATTCAGAAAGACTTGTTCAATCCGAGAGTGAAATCATGAACTACAAATATCAATCCGCAGACAAGTAAATCATATTCAACTAACTCTCAACTTTTATCTGCATGAACTAACTCTTTTCAGAACAAGCAGCTGTATCAGTAAAGAAGGAGATTTTTTACTATCTCCCGGGCAGGACAAAACATTAGAGAAATTCACTTTTTCAAATGCTATTATGCTCAATGTGAAACTGGGTGTGTGGGAGGCCTCATTGGAAAAGTACATTGATGAGATCGAATTCGTGACAGAGGATTTGAAAAGGTATTACCAAAGTTTTTATATTCAAACACAACACAATTTTTGCAATGTGTTGAACCATTGACAGTTGGTAGCCCGTCCTGTGGGTGATTTGCTCTACTCATTCAATCGACCGCTATGTGAACGCACACAGATTGAATTGCATTCAATTTTTATTTAATCTAAAAATCATGATTTTTCATTACACCCTGTACAGAATATAACAAAATTGTTTAGGAGAGTCTGATGAAATGCAATACACAGCTAAAGTACAACATAAAAGTCACAGAATTAAAAAATGTTATGCATAAAAACACATATGAATTGAATAAGGTACATGTCAGTCGAAATTAAATCAATACAAATAAAAATATTGAGATTAATAACAGAGCTCTTATATAATTAATTTGATCACATTTCCAATATCACACGAAAGTTTTTCAATCAGCCATTTTTTACAGTATAACTATGGTCTCATGATATACCCATGTAGGTCTTATCTGGTACTTGTCCTTAGTGGGGTTATTGTGAATATTTTCACCCAAAGAATTTTTATTAACCCATTAATATTGCCTCTGGAACAAAAATGGATGGGAAACTTGAAACTCCGAAATATTTAAACAATAATCAAGAGGAAACAGACTATTGTATAAAATATGCTCTTGGGAAATTTTGTGATACAATTGGGTTATTTATAGACACTATATACTTAAGTGGTGTTATCTATGTTTAAAATTATAGCTGGAAAAACCAGAGTAACTGGTTGAAGAAGAAAACAAATGTATCATGCTAAATATTAAAGAATATATTTACATATATCGATGACAAAACTGACTATGTAAACCTGAATTATCAAAAATGTTTATATTTCATGGGTGTATTATATTCTATTCTTTAATATTCTGTAGCAAACCTGTAACACCAAGTTATAATGATATGACATAATGGTAAACTTGATTAGAAAACAGACTATTTTTAGGAGAGATTCGTTTTTTGAAAACAAACGTTTTGCTTTTCTACTCATCAAATAAAGAGAAACTCTGGATAACTTCCAAAAAAAAGGGGGGAAAATGACTATGATGAAAACTCTCCATAAAGATATGTAGATTATAGACAGATAGACGGATACAAACTGGAAGAAAAAATCCTTTCAAAATAACTACTTTCCCATAATCATTGAATTATCTACATGAAAAAAATTGCTTTCACAACAACTACTTTCATATAAACTAATTGTATTTGAGATATATTTTTTTAATATATTGGAATTGGAAGTAACATTTTAACATAAAAAGATATATAATTTTTCTGTGGAGAAAATTGTACTTTTTGATTAACAATAATGAACATATCGTCAATATATTTCATATTAAATATTTTTTCATAAAATCTGCTTAATATTTTATCTTAACCTTCCATTGATATAATCAAAACCAGTACTTTTCTCATCTACCAGTATAGTTATCAATCATTGAGTTTATTTTCATCTTCATTTGCTACAAAAACAATAATTTTTTCAAGGGGCAAGAAGATTCGGATGTCTAGAGAGGCGGTACTGAGGAAGCACGGAGAACTCTTCGCTCTCAGGCATTACATGAATCTCAGTTCTGACGTGCTGGACACACCTGACTTCTATTGGGACAACGAAGATTTGGAGAACCTTTACAATCAAGTCTGCTCATATTTTTGTATAAACAAAAGAACAAAGGTATCTTTCATAATTCATAATTGGAGTGTTCTTTGAAATATTTCTGGCACCTTGTCAAGTTTGACCAACATAATTTTGTTTTCAGGTGATGAATGAGAAGATCAATCACTGTGTAGAGCTGATAGAACTGTTATCTTCCCATTTGAGTGACAAGCATCATGTTAGATTGGAATGGATGATAATAGTTCTCATTATGGTGGAAGTGTTCTTCGAGATAGTGCATTATATTGATAGATTTGTACACTGAGAGTAGTCTGAAGATCCAGTAACAAAACTGTTGTCTTTGTTATTTTTATTCAGATATTATGGAAGAAGGTGGTGAACTAATTTTTTGTTGTATATAATTGAAAGTTGAAGATTGGAAATCGTTTTTTTTGTATATACTTTTTGATCTTCTGAACTCGGTTAATTTCAAAGAGTGGAAAAACCCTACTTTCAAATAAACAGATGTATAAAACTGTTATCCATGTGTCCATCAATTGATGGAAAGCAGAGATATCAAATTTTCATTTGCTTTTCATTTCAACTACTTCATTTGTACTACTTTGCCATCACTATTTTTTTGAATCTATAAATATCTGATCTAGTCTCACGTAATTTGAAAAATGTAAATAATAAGGCTGATTTATATTATGTTAAGCCCAATTTGTTACTGTTTTTTATTGTAAATATGAACTAGATTGTAGTTTTCTTGTTATATTATAGAAACAAATATAATTTTCATAATTTTCGAGGAAAGTCATTACCTGAACAGGTTTCAATCATTTGTGAATTATTTATTAATTCATTTATTCATTCATCCACAGGTAGCTCCCAATTTGAATACAAAATTCTACAAGTATTAAATAGATAACACTACGCTTCTTTTATGTAATGAAATTATGAATTAAACAATTACAGTAGTGAATTGAAGTGAAATAATCAATCTAATACATGAAAATCCCTTGTCAAGGTGCTTGTGATTATACAGGGCTATTCAAATTCGTTTCTGTACATGGGGATCTCGTAAACGATAAGAGATAGAGTGTCGGTTAAATTGTGGCAAAGTTGCGTATTTTAGAGACCTATTCAATGATGTAAAGAAATCGAATATAGCTCTTTTGGTTCTGGAGGTATACAGGAAAAACAAAAAAATCCCAAATTATTTTTTTTACTATATCTACTTTATTCGCAGACATATTGAAAATCTGTCCAAATTTTGCTATTGGCACTTGATATGAGCTCTCAGAATATATTCAACAGGGTGTCATCTGACTTGGGCCACCCCCATCTTTGGATTTTTAAATACGGACCTGTATTTTTTGTTGTAGTTTTTGGATTGTAGACGTTCATTTCATACTAAGAAATTAAATTCAATTTCATATGTCGGGATGTTTCGGTAATATTCGACTATAATTGTGTGAATTATTCCCTTTTAAATTACGGCCCTGGAAATTGGTTGACTGAGTTGAGTAAAAACATAACTTGAGTATCAGTCACAGATCTCCACCTAGAATGGAAATGCATACAGACAGTTTTCTCTGCTTTCACCATCAAAAAATTTCTTTCACACAAATTTATGAATTCTTCTGCTGAATTATTTAGTTTTTTTTGTAAGTCTTCAGGACTATCTGAATTAATGGCCAATGTAGTATCATCTGCATAGAGAACTACTAAATCTGAACTGATATAGTCAAGTGGATTGTTTATGAATAACAAAAAAATAAGCGGCCCCAAGATCGATCCCCGAGGAACTCCCCGGTTAATCTGATATTATTCAGATATGATCTCCGATTTCAACCGATATTTTTCTGAAGCGCATGTATGACATCAGCCATGACAAGAAATTTCCACGAAAACCAAGGGGATATAATTTACTTTCGATTATCTCCAGGTCAATAATGTAGAATGCCTTCGATAAGTCGAAGGCGTGATATAAATAAGGACAATATGGTATGTATATTTAGTTTAATCTTTCTCTTGAAGATGATCACTTGGTGACCGAAACACACGTGTCGAGATGTTAAAAGTAATGGTTTGGTGTTGGGATCACCAAATGGACATACCAATTTGCACATTAAAAAACAAATATAACAGAGGCGAGAATTCAATTCTATTTGGTCATTTAGTTAAATTTTCAGAATTTTTATATCCATTAATTTCATGAAAAAGGATAGACCGTTGGTGTAAGACACCAAGGATATACTCAGATACTAATGTTTCTAGGTACATATTTCTTCATGATTTTTATCTCATTGATCAAGTAATTTTGATATTTAGAAAACTAGATGCTCATATCAGTGAAAAAAGTGATCAATCATGCTCCGAATTTTTTTTATCTCAAATCGCACAACGTTTATCACAGTAATTCATATAAGATATTATATAACTTCAAATTAGGAAGTCTTACATTGCTAGACATATTGAAAAATTTATAGACTCGCATTCAAAATTTATTTCAGTTCTATAAAAATAAAATATCTGCAAGTGGCCAAAAATTTTATTGTTGAAATGGGTTGTGGAACTTCAAAAGTAGCTGAAGATAATACAGGTAAATAGCCTTTTTTCCATTGGAAACGTGGGAAATTGGTAAAATGGAGGTCTGTAAAAAATCGTAATGATATTCCAATTCTAACCATTTGCCTCATGCTTTATCTTTATTTCTAAATATTTGCTAGATCCGAAATTTCAAGTTTTTGAAGAAAGAAGATGCTATATAAATTGACTTCACCACAACATGTGTACTTTCAGCAGTACTTATCAGATACTTTTACTTAATTCAAGAAATTTGATATAATTTTTCACTTTTCCCTATATTATTTTTCACATTCCGGTTACTTAAAATAATTTTATAACAGTGGCAACTGTGTAAATGAGCACGTGGAACGTTTCAACTACTGTTTACAATTTTTGAAATAACTCGAAAAAAAACTTCTAGGAATCAAGTAGATGGAATTAAGCAATTCAGTAACAAAACAGTTCTAAGAAATGATTTTAGTTTTGACATCCATACCACGAAAGTAAAATGTGACGCGTTTATTACCTATCTATCACAGCATTTCAGATAAAATACTGGTTATGATTGGGAAATCCCTTAGGCAAGGTTTTACATCATTAGAAAGTCTCAAAAAATCAGTCACGCGCCTCAAACATTTCTCGCAACTCTTGGAACCCCAAAAAAAATCAATAAGTGGTCAAATTCCTAATGGTAAAATGGGCTGTAGCACATCCAGAGTAGTTGAAATTTCCGGTGCTTGTGAGTAGGTCTTTTGGCAACCTGTAGCCTGTAGGTCATTTACGAACTACATAACCTTGAATTTCGCAAATAATTTTGGTCGATTAAATTGTGTAAAACTTGTTTTACAGTGAATATTTCGATTATATTTGTTTATTTAAAATAGTATCAGTGGGAACAAACAAGTCCTAATGTAGAAATTGTGTTAATTTTTTCAAAATGACAGAGGTCATCTTCAAATGGTATTGATTACATCTAAAATATGTTTCGAATGTTTCATTCGATATGTATACTATAATACCCTCGCTCAACATTTTGATAAAAGCGTTAACTACAAATCCTCATTTCACAGCAGGGAAAGTGTCTTCAGTTGAACCTTCTGATGAATTCGTAGAAGGTGATGTTTGCCAAGTAGACGATATTGGTGAAAATGAACTGAAGACCTTTGATTTAGACGAGGGAAAGGTCCTTTTGGTGAAACAGAATGGAATAATCAATGCCCTGGGCACTAAATGTCCCCATTACGGGGCCCCACTGGTTAGCAGTGCCTTGGGAGATGGCAGGTTGAGGTGTCAATGGCACGGAGCTTGTTTCAATCTAGCCACAGGGGACATAGAAGATTATCCTGGTGAGTTACTTTTTTTTTAAGTTTTAACCAGAAGCATAGGTTGTAAAAATTTTACTCCAAGATATGTCATCAACTCTTTTAATAATAATGAGTTTATTAATAGCCAATCTGAAGTTAGACACAAGGTTTTTATTGATCTTCTTTGGGTATTTTCACCTTTGAGAGTCTGAAAAATATGGAAATTGTTTCATTTGTAGAAACGTAGTTCGTTTGTAGAAACTCGACGGAAATACTTTCTATTTGGAAAAATTTCAAAATTCAAAAACTGACAAACCAAAAAAAATCAATAACTACAACAATCCTGTTGAAGTGAAAGACAAACTGATGTTTGAATTGAAACACCAATAAATTCAATATAAGATCATAAAAATTTCCATAAATATAATATTGATACATAGGTTGTTATAAAATTTATGACGTTATTGAGGAAAGAGAGCAATAATTTTGGATTTGCTTTGTTTTATCTATATTGGTCCTCAAGGTTACAAAAGTGTTTTATTAATTAATTGATGGTTCAATTTTCTCACTTTATTTGATCTTATCAAATTTTTTCTCGACCCTAAGACTATAATCAATTGAAATATGGTTTATTGTGAATTCCTTATAGATCCACAAGCACAGTGGATTTTTAATTTTGTACAAATTTCTTTGAATTTATTTATGGTCATAAATTTTTTTTTGGGTCTAGAATTCATTCATTTCCATTCTAAACTATTTACAAAAACATTACAGGCATATGTCATAGAATAGCATTTTTTCATTGTTTTTTAGCATAAATTATGCAAGATAATGATAATAATTTATTAAACCACTGTGGTGCAATATTTCAACTAAATCATAAGTACTCAATAAATTGATAGATGTAGCCTTTACTATGTGGTAGGAAATCATAATGAAGAAAAGAGAAATGAACATTTTCCGTATAGGGCGAAACCGCAGTAACGTTAGTTAGAAATAAAAGTGGTAAAAAACATAGAAAGTTTCGTTTCTCTTTTCTTCATCATAAGTACTCTTCATATTAAGTGCTTGTTAAAAAAAAACTTCAATAAAAGCATGTGATACATGCCCGAAGAAGCCATTGTATGGTGTCAATTCCATCATATATAATACAGCCTTCTCTAACCAGTGCGAGCAAATGATTATAAAATTTGATGACTGCACAGTGCAGATCTTTTTCTGTGATTGTCAGCCTTTATTTGGCAAACACCAAAAATCGATGAATATATTTAATCTGGGGTTGGTAGGTATAGAAGTGTAAAAACAAAGTTCAGTTGAAATCAAATGTCGATTCTGAAAATGCCAAAATATACAAAATGTTCCATTTGAAATAAGTGATTCATGCGTAAATTGTCATCGTGTTGAAGGAACGATGTCTGTAAAACATCCCCTAATATTGTTACAAATTGTGGAAGTTTTATCTTTTTTATCGACCCTCATAAGGATTTTCACCGTCCACAATCTAAAGAAAGTAAAAATTATAATGAAGAACTTTATACAGGTGTAGAAAAGGAAAATTTTTAAATTCACTCTGATAATGTGAATTCAAAGTATTTTTCATAAAGAAAAATGTTCTGTATATTTGTAACTCTCGTTTTAATTAATTTTGCCCAATGTATGTAATAATGTATCTTGCAGTTTTTTCTTCGGTTTGTTTTATTTTTGAAACTTTCTCAACGGGTGTCAAAAGCATTACAATATTTATTTTTTTTCAGATTGTGGAGAGGGAAAATCCCCAAAAAAGATCTATTCTCTGGTTGGTTTCACTTTTTCAGTGACATTCATATGCCATATTTTGTTTTTTTTATTAAAACTGGATTTTATCAGTAAATATTGACGAAAAGAGTATTCAAAACAAATGGAGAAATCAAAAAAATGATGGAAATAAAAGTTGTTCAAAATTCAACATAGTATCCAAAGAAAGTTGAAATCTATGGGGTATTCCATTTGAAAAAAAAAGTTGATTTCCAAAACGAGACAAATGGAGACATTCTATTTCTCATAACTGCATAGACTCACAACTCATAGACTGCATTCAATAATAACTGTCAAATTTTTAGATTGATATGTCATTTCTCTCCCTAATACGTTTAATGGACTTAGGTTTCCCTGTATATTACTACAGCTGAATTTAAAATGGCATGATAAATTGCGAAAATGAGAAAAAACAAGTCTTATCAAAAGTAATTTTTCCCTTGTTCCATTTTCCATAATTTATACATAATAGTGGTCAGTTCCAGATATTACAATTTTCTATTATTTTCAAAACTAATGGAGATATCAAAAAAATGATGGCGAGAAAAGTTGTTGAAAATTCAACATAGTATCCAAAGAAAGTTTAAATCTACAGGGTATTCCATTTGAAAATACAAAGCTGATTTCAAAAACGAGACAACTGAAGACACTCTATTCCTCAAAACTGCATAGACTCATAACTCATAGACTGCATTCAGTAATAGCCATTGTCAAATTTTTAGATTGATATGTCATTTCTCTCTCCGTCTAATGGTCTAATGGACTTTATATTACTACAGCTGAATATAAAATGGCATGATAAATTGAGAAAATGAGGAAAAACAAGTCTTATCAAAAGTCAGTTTTCCCTTGTTCCATTTTCCATAATGTTTGATAGTGGTCAGTTCCAGATACTGCAACTTTCTATCATAAAAAGAAATGAGTATAATCAACACATCGATCACATACACAGGACACACTGATTAAAAAACCAATGTTAGCTGATGAGAAAACCTAAGAATGATCATTTTAAGAATCAACAAATTGAAAAAATGAATAGCATATCCCTTCTCATATTAGCAGAGAGACTGCTTATTGAAATATGACTGGGTTTTTTCAAAGATGAGCCATCTGGGATAAATTACTAGATTCGGGCGATTTGTAAATTTTGTTTGTTTGCATTTCTGTATTTTTTATGCTCCAACAATCTAGTTTCAAGATTACATCTTGTTTGGCCAACATCATACTTGGGTATTTTTTGTATTTTATTTTGAAAAATACATTTGATATCAACAGGCATATTGTCTTCCTTGTTAATGAAATATATTTGATTTGGTAACCATGCCAAAAAAATGAATTTATAGGTAATATTTTAAATATATAGTGTTATTTCTTTGAACAAGTACACGTCGTTCTTTAGCAAATGTCTTGTCGGTAATTCGACTGATTTCATTCTAAACATGGTGCATTTTCAGCTGTCGATGCTCTACCATGCTACAAAGTCACCATCCACGACAACAAAGTGAGAGTTCGCGCAAAGAGATCCGAATTAGAAAGTAACAAACGCACCCCATCTATGGTCAAAGCAGACCCCAAGAATGAAAAGCACTTTGTAGTGATAGGAGGCGGACCTGCAGGGGCAATTTGCGTAGAAACTCTCCGACAGGAGGGTTACAAGGGAAGATTGACAATGGTTTGTAGGGAGCCCTATTTACCATATGACAGGGTGAGTAAGTTCCAGAACACTTGTGTAAAAATGAATATACAAGAAAAGAGTTGAGAATAACAAATTTTTTTTTTCGTTCAAAGTGAGGTCATTATCATCCAACAACTCTTGTACATACATAGTATTTTCAGTAGCATTATATGTGATATGTTGTTTGTTGTTTCTATTTATAAGCAGTGATGTATCATCTGCAAACATTACATAATTTTTCTTCAAATATTGTTAACGTAGATTATGTAAAAGAGTAATTTTTTGTGTGGTAGCCTTCAGCTATTTCACTATGGAAAGCGCAATATCTCTATAACTGAAATTGCCAATTATAAATTCTGCACTTTTAGAAACTACACAAAATTTACTCCTCCCATGGAACACGACTCATTCTAGTAACCGAACAATGTGTTTCGAAATATGTTGATAATTTTTGTAATTACCGTGTTTCGAATATATCCTCAAATTTTTGAGTTGTTTCAGATGGAATTTTCCTTACGATTTGTATTCGAAAGAAACGTAAGTGCATGATCTGCACATCTTTATTAAGAGTTCCCACTGATCTAATTAATTATTTTCATTTGGAAGTATCTCAAAGAAGAAGAAATCCAAAAGAGTTTTCCTGTTTTATTGATACTTTATTTGAATGACATAAATTTCATTAGTGACTGTGAATTTAAAAAAAATCTACTAATAACGAAACTTTATATACCTTAATTGATATCAAGTCCAATAATATTGAGATCTACGGCGAAACTGTAGAAATTGTGAAAAAACACTTCTAGTATATGTGTAATAAAATTTCTAAAAAATTGTTTTTCTTTACTAGAATTAGTAGACAACTAACATTCTAATCTAATTTGACTGTTTATAAAACAATAATTCTACCACACTTTGATTACTGTGCTACTCTGATATCATTATCAGAAGGTAATTCTATCTCTACTCTACAAAAGTTACAAAACAGAGGAATGCACTTGTTATTAAAATGCTATAAGTATACTCTTATAGTATCAATGATTAATATTCTTAATTGAATGACAATAACAAGCTTCCTAATGAAGTTAAACAAAGTAACACCCTCCAACTATTCAAACGCTTCTTATCTTAAAATCTACGGGAACATTATTATTTCAACTGAGTTCTTCATCGTTCTTCTCTCTTTTATTCTCTTCATCATTGACTACTGCTACGTTTTTACACACTATATTCTACTATTTAGGTCTTATATATTTTAGTTTATTTTGTTCAGTAACTGATATAATTGTATCAGGACATCTATTTCTAATAAATCCATCTATCTAAAAAATATTCCCTTTTCTATTTGATGGTGTATGTAGTATCTGCAGAGTTTAACGAGAAAAATCTCAATATTTCATTCATCAAATCCAGATGACCAGGCGTTTTTTTATTTTGACCATAAATGTTTGTATAAATCATCTTGATTATAAGGTTACTGTGTACATTTACTTTGTTTGAGAGTTGCAATATAACATGCCATGCTGATCTAGTGCGGTTATCTGAGTAGGTGATTTTACCTTGAATGTACTTTTTTTGGTGTGTAATGTTACTTCCAAATGTTCGTGTTTTTATTTTATGTTTTTAGGTCAAAGTAAGTAAAACAATGGACTTTGAAATTGAAAAAGCTCAGTTCAGGGATAGCAAGTTCTACAAGCAGTATGACATAGACGTACTGAAAGGAGTTGAAGCCACTGCCGTGAATACCTCACTGAAGACCGTTTCATTGAGCAACAATTCACAACTTAGTTACGACAAGTTGTTTATAGGCACTGGCTGTAAGCCTAGAAAAACCGACATTCCTGGGGCTGAGCTGAGAAATGTGGTCGTTTTGCGAGATTATGAGCATTCTAAGTAAGTAAAACATTAATTCCAAGGCATTCTGATGAATGTTAGAGGTTCAAACTTCCACCGTTTGAAAAAAGTGTATTGAAATCGAATATACTAGGTCTGGTAGGTCCTAAACGTTCGGATGACTTAGTTGAAATGTAAAAATATTAAAACAAAGTGTTGGGAGCTGAAATGATAGTATACACATATACAATATAAAACAAAAGATGTTATTAACAATAAGTAATTTTTTTATGTTGTTGGGGTATTTAACTTCTCACGGTATGAAAAATAAACAAAGGTGAATCAATAGGCAATCTGCTAAAGTTTGATAAAGGGCAAACTGAAAAGTTTACATTGAAAAGTGACTGTGTAATACGCAAACAACTTAAGAGTGCATTTCTTCATATCTGTTTAAAAAAAATCTCTTGGATGTATATCCTTCAACAATTTGAAAAATAAACAAAGTAAAATCAAGATACACTGCCACTAAAGTGTTTCCTAACTCTCTGTACACAGCTGTAATTTTATATCAATTAGTATTACTTTGTAGCATAACACAAGTGTTAAGTCACTTAGATGCTATTTTATACATAATCTTTACTTTATGTACTGCAATTACTGTCTTTATATATGTCTCTTCGTTAGTGTGATTGAGAAAATGGTGGTTGGGGTTTGGTACTGCTGGGATGTTGATTGGAGTCTATTTCTGACATTCTTGAGTACTGCATACCTTCTTTTTTTCTGTTGACCTGTACACCTTTTCCTTTCCTGTCGAAATTGTTGGGATACTTAAGATTTAGATCTACTTGTATAAGCATTACTCCTTTACCTCAACTACCATTCCATCTATCAGCCTCATCAGTCGTTGCTGAGGCTTCAAGATATCACCTTCGACCTCACAGTCAATGCACATACCACTGATGATGTATGCCGCAGTAGCAGACGAAACGTTTGGTACTTCAGGTCCAATTTGACCTCAGACTACTAATCCCAAAAGGAACCATTCAGTAAGCTAGTGAAATAACCTTAAAAAATGTATACGAGCTAGGTCAGAGATATGGAAATAGTAATAAACTAGGAATTTGTTATATTAGAGCATTGGTAGCAGTAACGCCAAAAAATTTGCTTGAATGTTCATCCAATATAGCCAATGAACCCTTATTTCAGGTATACAATATCCCAACTGGGCGAAGACAAAGAAATAGTAGTCCTAGGCAGTAGTTTCATTGCGCTAGAAGCTGCCAATTATTGTCAAAACAAAGTTAAAAAAGTCACGGTGGTATTGAGAAAGAACCTACCGTTTCAGCCCCTGTTAGGACCAGAAGTCGGAGCTGCCTTTATGGATCTCTTCGAGAAAAAGGGTGTTCATTTCATTAGGGAGAGCGGAATCGTCAGGGTCATAGAGGATGGTGGAGGAAATGTTACAGCAGTCGAACTGAAAGACGGTAAGATTAATTTAGAAGAAATGTATAATTTCATAAAGAAAATCCTTTGAATAGAAGCAGTCTCATAAACAAATCATTACTGCCAAATAAAAAGTATCCCTAATAAACGAATAACCTGAAATAGTGGTTGACTGATCAGCAGAACTGAAAGATGTTATGATTTATTTAGAAGAAATGTATAATTTTATAAAGGAAATTCTTCAAATTGAAGCAGTCTTATGAAGAAATCATTACTGCCAAATAAAAAGTATCCCTAATAAATGAATTACTTGAAATAGTGGTTGATTGATCTGCAGAGTTGAAAGATGGTAACATTTATTTAGAAGAAATGTATAATTTTATAAAGGAAACTCTTCAAAATTGAAGCAGTCTCATAAAAAAATCATTAATGCCAAATCAAAAGAATCCCTAATAAACGAATTACCTGAAATACCATATTTCTTTATTCTTTAAATTGAATCAGTCTCATATAAACAAATCATTACTGCCAAATAAAAAGTATCCCTAATAAACGAATAACCTAAATTAGTGGTTGACTGATCTGCAGAACTGAAAGACGGTAAGATTAATATAGAAGAAATATATAATTTTATAAAAAAAATTCTTCAAATTGAAGCAATCTCATATAAACAAATCATTACTGCCAAATAAAAAGTATCCCTAATAAACGAATAACCTAAATTAGTGGTTGATTGATCTGCAGAACTGAAAGACGGTAAGATTAATTTAGAAGAAATATATAATTTTNTATCAGTACATCTTTTTGAAATGAACATGTACATATGATATAATATTTTATTTTTTGTATTCTATTTCCATTGCTGATTGAAGTGGTATCATAGATAAATAGATAAACAGATGGATAGCTATAGATACATTGATATATAAATAGAATATAAAGAGTGCAGTAATAAAGTAAAACATAAGGAATGATGTGAGATATGCAAAATAAAAAGATTAATGAAATCAAAAAGAGGCCAAACAATAGTATATATAGGTTTGCGAAACAGAAAAAGACATACAGAAACATGGAAAGAAACAGGAACAAAAAGTTATACAAACAGTGAGATACAAATATTCAAACAAAGTTATTGGAAAATGAAATACAGAAATACAATAAACGTCTCAAAAGTGGATGATAGAAATGGTGAGAAAGGGAGGATTGAAGACAGATTCTAATGGTTGTACCAGAGCTAGACGTCGAGTTGTATGAGCTTACTTTCTCTGTTTAGGTTCCACCCTGAAAGCGGACCTCGTAATAATGGGAGTAGGAAGCACATACTACACAGACTTCCTGAAAAACTCCGGGATTGAGATGCAACCAGACGGTTCCATAGAAACCAACAGTTATCTCCAGACTAATGTTCCAGACGTGTTTGTAGGCGGAGACATAGCTTACGCTCCTGTATGGTCTCACGGAGGTAAAAAATCAGCTATTGGGCACTACCCTCTGGCACACTATCATGGAAAGATTGCGGCTTTGAACATGGTGGGGAAGACGACGGAGTTGAGGTCGGTTCCTTACTTTTGGACAATGCTCTATGGCAAAGGTGTTAGGTGAGTAGTTATCTTTCAGTAATAATAATGAAGATACTTGAAATTTCCTAGCGACTTGCAACGATTTGTAATTGAAATTTTAGTCTGAATATGTGAATTCATTATATTATAGTAAACGTTTCTATTCCAGATACGCTGGTCACGGCGATTACGACGACATAATTTACCACGGCGAAGTTTCCGAATTGAAGTTTGTAGCTTTCTATTTGAAGAACGACGAAGTCATAGCTGTTAGCTCTTGCGCTATGGATCCAGTCGTATCTCAGTTCGCGGAGCTTCTGGCACAGGGCAAAAAACTCTTTAGAAAGGATCTTGAACATGACAAACTCGCTTGGACCAAGAAAAATTAAGGGCACGTTGAATGGTATACAGGGTATTTCGCCTAAAAATCCCTCAGGAAATATCTCCAGACCTATAGAATATATTCCGGTTTAACAAGAATGATGATTTCAACTTGATATAAGAGTCGAAGCAAATTTTTTCAATGGCAACAACTTTTGAATGAGGTGGAGCAAAAGTAATTTTTTTGTGGAGGAAATCAGTTTTTTTATTGAACTTTTTTCGGGTCTTTTCACCTTCCACTAACTGGAATGAGAAAATGGTAACGGAGAACTCTACAGTGTGTCAATTTTAAAACTTACAATGGGCTATAATATCTCATGAACGAAAGCTGAAAAAATTGAATGAAAAGAGGAATATTCAATTCTATTTGGCCATTCAGTAAATTTTCATAATTCTTGAATCTACTGATTTCTAAGCATTCCAAAAGATTGATTTTCAAACCCATCTTCTTCAAATGAAGCACACTATAGTCTTTAATTTTTTGGGAAAAAGTTCTCCCTGTTTGGCCAATATAAAGTTTTGGGC